CAATCCAATCACCCTCAACATTCATACAGACGGCGCTCCTCTCATACGATCCACAAAGACGTCGATGTGGCCGTGTTTTGCTTCGATTACGGAAATTCCTCCTCCAGCTCGCGAATTCAAGTGCAACATAATTTTAATGGCGTTGTGGCTGTCACGTAATAAGCCCAACGTGGATCTGTTCTTACATGACCTTATTGAGCAGATTATTGAGTTAATGAAAGATGGTGTTATCATATTTATTGGTAATCGTGAAATCCAAGTATCAGTAAAAATCGGTTTCTTTGTTAGCGATTTACCTGCGAAATCGTTGTTTCTCAAATTCATTAATTTCAATGGTTACTTTGCATGTGTTCAATGCCACAGTGAAGGTATGGAATTTAGCTATTCTACAGCAGCACTTATCTACATGTTAATCTTATGCAGAATCTTGTTGGCGTCTGTGAAGACCGTCACACGTTGTATATCTCATTCTAACAGCTTAGTGACCGAATAAAACGATTCATCGGCTTGAGGCTATCATTTGTGACCCAGGTATCATCGCTTTTCTCTCGATTTTAGGAGAATGGATCAAGCGACAAGTGATTTATCCGTATGCGAAAAACGACTATACACCACGAACACATCAACAATATATTGCAACAGCAAAACGAGCAGCAGCAAAGTCATCTGGTGGGCGATCTTCAGCCGGAATTGACGGCATTAAAGGATTGTCTTCACTGATCAAAGTAATCGAATTTCCACAACAAGTTATATTAGATTTTATGCATCAAATATGTTTAAACCACGTGCCGAATTTAATTCGTCGATGGAACGGTCAACTAAATGGCACTTCGAAAACTGACATTGATTCAACATTAGCTGCCATTCCTCATAATGTTCATGTTGTTTACATTCATTCAATTAGTCAGATAAACGATTGGAAGGCAAAACACAGTCGGCTCTTCGTGAACAACATTGGATTACCGGTCGTTGTTCCTCATCTTCCAAAAATCTACTCTTCGCCCTTCGCCATCTATTCTATGCTCAGCAAAATGCTGCATTCAGAAGAGGAAATTAAATTGGCTGAACGACTGATACACTTTTATTGCCGAACAGCGGCTGATATTCATGATCCAACAATTGAATTATTCTCATTACATTCCCAGCTTCACTTACCAGCACAAGTGAGAGCCCATGGAGGTGATTAATTCTTTCTTTCAGCTCTTCTCCCTCCTTTTAACTTAATTTGCTACTATATTTTGTTTCTCTTTATAGGCCTTGGCTTTTGTGGTGCATTTTGTTTCGAAAGCGCCATTAGATATCTACAGCTGAAAGCACATGGAACAAGAAATCTAGCGGCACAAATCGCGTTTTGGTACGACATGGAAAACATCCTGCCAACCGAACAATTACAGCTGCCACGACCATCTTTAATCAACCACATTCAACTTAATAGTGATCAATTGAACAAATATCGTGACATTTTAGTGTTAAAAATGAATCAACAACAACATGATTCAAAATCTGCAAAATTTTACTTACGATACAAAGAGTGTTTCAAAACATACCATTCAGAATTGTACAGTCTACGATTCAAATGCAACAGCTACCTCATCTCATTCGAAGAAACTAATCAGAAAACTGAATATGGCAATATCATCTTGTTCTATTTATGTCAAGATGATCACTATGCATTGATCCAGATGTTCGAAGACTCTGATACAAAGATGTCTGAACACGTGGATATTCCTACTGAATTAAATGCAAAACTAGACGATCTGTTTCCTATTCGAACATTGAGTGAATCATTTGCAATTATTTCTGTTCAGAATTTTGTACATAAATGTGTTTCTGTTCCTTTTTTCGATGGTGTGTGTATTAGTCAATTGAGATTAGATTTCGAGCACGACTGAAATAAAGCGGTTTTAGAGAGAAATAGAGCGGTTAGTTCTCTCAAAAGTGGCATCAGCTAACTGTGCACTGTGGTGAGTTTACTGAAGACCTTAACTAAGCCGAAAACTGTTTCCCGTTGTTTCGCGATCACCACTAGCGTTGTCTATTTAACAGAAATACATTTTATTCTTCGTTTTTTCAGATGGCTACGAACAGTTATGCTCGCGCTTATGCGCAGATTAAGAGAAAAACCCAGGAAAAACAATATTATTTAATTACATATGTAAATGATCCTAGCTGT